AGAACAATTAACCTTATTAATTTAAAAGGCAGCTGTGGTATTGGCTACGGGTTATATTAATAGCCTTTCGAAGGCTCATCTGAAATCCTTCCCAAAGGTGTGAGAGAGAATTAACTGGAAGAGGTTATGACCCAGGGCCACTGCTAATGAGGAATGTTCTCAGAACTGCAGAAGTGCAAACTCATTGTTTCACGAATGTAGTACGTAAGAGGGATTTATGAGTGAGAATCTCAGCTTTGTCTTGTTTGTCTCTGTACGCTGCTGACACCTTATTGGAGGAAGTTAATCTGAGAAATGACTCCATTTTCAACAATATGGTTCCTAGCATGCTCCCTGGAGAGCTGTGCACTTTGAAATACGGCCCCAGTGAAGAGATACCACTGGCCAAATTGTTCTTTTCAGTGTTCCAGTTTCTGCAAAGCTCAACATCTCTGGGAGAATGTTGTCATGCACTTTGAGATCCAACAACAGGATCTCAAAATAGCTATTAAATAATAATAACCTTTCTGTCTTAAGAGACTTTTTATTGCCAGCCTGAAAGATGTAAAGGGCTAGAGAATTTCCTAGGGGCGAGGATGCTAGGATAATCTTCCATTAGGTTAAACGACCCTCCAGAAGGATTGATTCACATAACCTCCCAGAAAAACATTCCTTCAAACCTCACTCAGTTTCTTCATCTATAAAATGGTCCTAATGTGCCCCATCTCTTGGTAAAGAACGCCAAGAGAGCGAGGTGTCACTTAGAACATGGGAGTGGGGTTCAAGAAAGGCATCACTGTTTCTACATTGCCTACACAATGCATTATGTACTACGTCAGGTCAGGCTCCTAGGAAGCCTGGTGGAAATATTCCAGTTCGATATTTTCTAATGAGACAAACTGAACAAGCATTCAGTGATTCAATAGTTATCTTGATGCCAGTGACCAGGAAAGTATCTCTGAGACAATTTGAAAAAAAACAGAACAGACCAAGAAGGAAAAAAAAAACCCAAAACCTTAATAGCTGGCCCTTAGTCACACTGAATGCCAAAGCTCGTGATCATTTATGCAAAAACCCGATTTCCTATTCCCTGTCACACTTCCGAACCTCATTCTGTCTGCTTGGCAAAGACAACCAACAGAAGGGACGGTCACTTGCAAACAGCATGCCCTTTCTGAAAATGGGCCACAATGTTTAGGAGAGCTTTGATGGGGGTCACAAGGCAATGTGTGTGTGTATGAGTGTGTTGTGGGCACGCACACGCGACTGCACACGTGTGACAGCAAACTATTTGCATATGTTGAATGGAATTATCCCTGATGTCTACTAAGAAAAAGAAGAGATATTAGGGAGGGGGTATTTAAGATTAGGCACATGCTAAGTAGAGAAAATAACTCCCCAGGAACCGAAAAAGTAAGTGCTGGGTGCTAGCATACAGGGGAGAGACACAGACAGCATTCAAGTCTCAGAAGGGACCACGAACAGAGGTGGGATCCCGGGAGTTCTCAACATACCCCAAACCGGACGATGAAGGGTAGGACACTGACAAACTTCCTCACCACAGAGGCTGACACTCAATATCTCTTTTTCTAACTTCTATTCTGACCTCCCTGGAGGAGATCAGGCACTTCAAGAATATGCCTAACATTACGGATTTCTTATCAAATGCTTGTGGCTGATGAGGCTGAAACCAACCCGAGTCTCAGCTGCCTTATCTGTAAAATGGGAGCAATCACACTTACATCCTAGGGTTATTTTGAGGATCACATTCTAGGACACGCCTAGAATACAGTCTGCACTCAGTGTAGACGTATTTTGATATTTCCAAATTCAGGCGCTGCTGACCCAAGGCATGTCCTTGGGATAAACAGAGAATCCAACGTTCCAGTAACACACAGAACAGGACGGACAGAGGGAAAACAAGCTCCCTCCCCACCCCGCCATCTGCCTGATTCATTTTGCCATTTCCTTGTCCCATTTTCTCTCTAGGCACCTGAGAGGCACTCTTTCGCCAGCCACAACTGTAGGCACTTGGGACTTAACAGGAATTCTCTCTACTCCCTTCCCTGATACATTTATACCCTGAACTATCCAAAGTAGTCTTCACAAGTCAAAAACAAAAAGCAAACAGAAAAGGCTTTCAGGAAATAGTCTTTTTACATAACGGTCTATTTTCTAATCCTTTGAGGATTTTTTTCCAACCTTTTCTTGAAACACATTGTCATAAAGCAGAGCTGGAAGAAGGCATGATTTGGGCAAGGGTTGAAGAACTGAGTGGAATCCGATCCAAGCCTGCCTGTGCACAACTGGAGAAGGGCAAGTATGTTCACCTGATCAGATGCTCCTGGGTTTCCTAGGTACTGTCTCTGAAGGTTGAAATAATCTAGGGCGTCTCCGGGAGCAAAAATTATATTCTCTAAAGTTACCTACACGTCTAAGGAAGGGACTATTGGCTTGTTTGTTTATTTGATCACGGAATCAGATAAATTTTTATGTCTTGACAAAAACTTTATCATTTCCAGTTTTTTCATTCAGTTTGTGTTTGCATCTCATGGGTCCTCGGTTCTCTTTTGCATTAGGGAACTGAATTTCTAGACTGTACACTACTTATGAGAAGAGACTAGACCTTCTGTTCCTTTTGCATCTCCCTAATCCCCAGTTGGCCTTAAAAGGAGAGTGGACACTCAGTCAGGTCCCATCAGCAGATCAGTGTCCTTTGTTCGTCCTCGGCTCATGAGAAACGTAACGCGATCATCTCAGAGATCACTGCCAGCTTTCGTCTTTGGTTTGAGGTTTTAAATTGTATCCCTTATTGACTCTTCCCAGGGAACAGGTCCCTGAAGAAAGGCTTCTCTGCTCCAGGACACGGAGGCAGAGGGTGTTGGGGGAGCTTAAAGGAAAACCAAAGTCAAAGAGGGATGCGTGGGTCTGTATAAGGCAAGAGGCAAAAACAGCCAGGTCAGTTCTGTGAGGCTCTCTGGCTTGGGTCCCAGCAGTACTCGGGAGAGCACTCTTGAGAGAAACCTAGGAATGATGAGTCAGCCTGGAAAGGGGAACCAAGCTAGGGGTGGATCAGGGAGTCTCGGGTTCTAGACCTGATTCTGATATTGCCAATCTGACCACCTTATACAGATTACTGCCCCTTTGGAACTTCATTTTTCTCTTAATTTTCCCATCTGCTTTCTCTGTCCCCCAAATCTCGATGTAGTTCTTTAAGTTCTGTTTTTCTAAGACCCTTCTGGTCAGGCATGTTTAGCTGATGCTATACGGAGTACTTCTGAACGCAGAAAGAGTGTGCGTAGGGGAAGAGGAGAAGGAATTTAAACAGGAAATGTGCCCTTTGATGGCTTTAATGTGAGCAGAATATAGCCCACAACCCTAAACCAGATATTTTTTAAACAAGGGGCCAAGAACACCAACACGCTAATCCCCCTTGGGCTCGGTTATCCTCCCTAGAGCTGAGGTTTGTTTGTTTTTTTTTTTTTTTGGGAAATAGTGCCCTCTTTACATAAACATCATCCCATCAATAACCAGAATGGGTTTTCCATATGTTAATGCCATTATCACCGTTTAGATTTTAACATAAACTTTACATTATATACAATTTTATTTGGATAATCCACTTACGTGGGAATTGTAGAAATCAAGCATGTCTGTTATATACATGTGTACACGCGCATTTGCATTCACAGGGTAAGTGCATTGCATCATCTCCAGTCTCTATCCAGTGGCCGGCTGACCTCACCTGATGCAGCCAGGTACGGCCACACAACAGCGTAAAGGGACTGGGTGGAAAAGGGCAAACCGCCTGTTGGGAGAGCTTCTCAAGCGGGGACCCCACATACCCCTCATGAAAGCACGTGCAACCCTGTTTACCAAGAGAAGACGGGGTATCTGGAAAGGCCTAATTTTGTCTCAAGTGAAAATAAACACTTCTTTTGGAATGAAAATTGCTTTCGTATAGAGCCTTTAACTCATATTAAATATCAACCAATGAGTTTAGCTTTCAACTACTCACTTCTGGGTTTTTTCTTGTTGCTGTTTTTCCTGAAGTCCAGTGATGTCTACTCGAGCTGTGCTTCGTACAAACAGGCTCTATTTCAGAAATAACTTGTGTCTCCCTTTCAAGAATTCACACACAACAGCTATGCACAAAGAAACAGTGCAGGGGTGTGCAGAAAGTTAACGCGGAGATCCGGCTATTCTGAAAGATAAATTTAAATTTCTCAAACTAGTATTTATTTAGGTCTTAAACCACAAGAGATTTCAGAGAAAGGTATTTATTTATATGACAACTGATTATTAAGGCTGCACTTTTTAGGTTTAAAGGAGATAAATTTTTAATCACCATTTAATTAACACCAACTCTTTTTTTTTTCCTCTTTCATTAGCAATTCCATTTGCAAAGAATTCAGGGCATTTGTCATTTCCTGAGAAGGATGCAGAATATTAAACACACATCGGTGGTAGGCATATCAAATAGAATAAACACTGTGCGACTGGCTGCCTGGCTGCTGCGAATCTTTTGACTAATTAACTGCCTTGGCTAGAGTCCCATTTAAGTGAAACTATTTCATTTGTAAACAAGGTGTAATTTTCTTTTTTTTTCCCCCTGAAAAATAAGTGTGAATTGATTTGACTGATTTGGCTGCAACGGGTGAATTTTAATGCGTTCACCAGAAAAGCTAAGTAGGAACACTTCTCAGGTACCTTATGAAACAGGCAAGAGAAAACCAGGCATGACCCACAAGACAGTGAGTCATGATGCTGGCTCAAAAAAAAACCAAAGCAGTGAGATTTTCCTGCAAAGGATGGCAGAGTAATGAGGAGGGGGATTATAATCCTGCCCTCTCGTGGCAGCTTCCAGGGCAGAAAAGTAGACCCATCGGTGACTTGTCCTCTCAGGGCACTGAAACCAGAAGTGGCCTAGGAACCTGCAGGTTTAAGGACAATGAAACAATTCTCCAGAAACCCACAGGTTGCCCGGAGTAGAACCTGCATCCTAGAAGACTCTCCTCTCACACAGAATATTTTCAGTTGGTTCCGTTTGTGTAGTGTTTCCTATCTGACAACCAGCTGGGTCCTTCTCAAGTGGGAGAAAAGCATGCAGAGGTGATGCATTACCACTACGGACGCCACAGCTCTGACCTGAGTCAGATGAAACTCAGGCACGCCTTTGGGCTCAGAGAGTCTGCACCCTTGGCATCAATAAAACTGAGAACTCAGAGCTGAGATGTGTCAGGGGAACCCTCTGTGATGGACCCATGGTTCAGGGCTTCCTATCTAATTCTTGTCGCCTCCCGTCCTGCAGGTGCGACTTACTGTTGGATGCCATCTTCCTGCCATCTTTCCCCAGAGGCCTGGAATGGCTGGGATAACCTCCGAATAGCTTGTCATCACTGTCTGTCACTTGGAGAGCGACCATCCGATCAATGGCCAATTGTCTAGTGTTTGGGATCATCTCTACTAGGAGTCAGTGAATTTGTGGAGGAGGGAAATTGTGTATTTACTACAGAGCATCCCATTCTAGTTACTTATGTTTTTAAAAACACTTCAGCTATTAAAGTAAGTAGGTACCGTTCCCCACTACATTACTGTTGGCTCCCCCCAAACCCATACTTCCGTTTCTATACCCAGGGAAGTACGGGGTTAAGAGCAGAGCTGATGCTGTTGTTAGGAGAAGGCTTTTGATCTATGGGACCATTCCGAGTGCAATTCCCACTCTCCCTGAGATCTCTTGTCACATTTGGCAGCCCCCTGAGTTTTGAGGACACTGGAGAAAGAGGAGCAGCCTCTTTGGGTTGGCGACATACCACTGCTCTGTATCCTGGGGACACTTTTCAATCCATGTCATGCTAAGACATGCCAGTCTTATGAGGGACTGGAGGCGGTCCTGGCTAAGGGAGTACAGGACTGGGATGCAGTGGAAGGGCAGAGGCAGGAAGTTCTAAAAGACGATACGGTCACGGGTGTGCCTAAGATTAGACGCTGGGGGGGGGGGAGACACTATTCCAGGTCCTTCAATCTAAGCTCCTCCATTGTTGGGTCCTGAGGCAGCAAAGGCCCAACATCCAAGAAATAAAGTGCAACATTCACGTACATTCGTCTCCAGCACCAAGTCAGCCCCTCCTGCCTTTCCATGTCAAAGACGATGGGAACACTTCCCTCTGCCTCTCGACCACCCACCCCGAAATTTATGGCAACCACTTTTCATCATTACAGGAAAACAGGAGGTCAGGTGCGCTTTCTCAAAGAGGGAGCCACTCAATGAACCCTTGGGCTCTAAGAGAGTTATCCTGGTGCCTGCCCACTCGCAGGGAAGCACGACCTGTGAAACGAAGCACATCACGACTAAAAGACACAGGAGAACTTTTCAACCTGCGGGTTCTGTCCCCTCCTCCAAGAACCCAGAACAGAAACAGGAGGAAACCAGGAAATGGCTACTGAACATTAGCCTGGGGCTTCCGTAACAGGACACCGAAACAGACCCCCGTCCTCTGTAAAACTGACGGCTCCCCACCCAGGGAGCATTTCAGGGATATTCATGTATTTAAAACACACTAATTGCTAGATTAGAGCTATATAAAATGTTTCATTAGTATTATTTGTGTCCTATTTAATTTTTAAACCAGAAAATTCTCATCTGATGAAGTGTCGTAACAGAACTTCCTTTAATTTTGGGGGGCACATTGCATGTACCAGGCACTGTGCAGAGAATCTTATATATTCTCCCCCTCCCCCCCCAGTTAAAAAAATAGTATCATTTCCTAGCATTTAGACACAGGTTTGGGTAGAGTGAGAATGGGCTAAGGAGGTGACTCCGAAATGACAGGTGTTTTGAGGAATTTTTCATCTCCTCTGTTGGTGCTAGTGAGGCAGTTTGCCTCCAATAGAGTGGCTGTTTCAGAAGAGAGAAATCACTTGTCCCCCTGAAGTTTATCCACAATGTGGAGGATGCTCAGGGTAGGTGTATGAGTGTCTCTCACGTTTTGAAGGCTTTTGATTTGAGGAGGCAGGGGGGAGGGGCGGGGGACCCATGTGAATTTCAGGACGTTAAGGAAGATAACCCTACAGCCGCGCTTGCCTTCGGCAGACAGATGGCTTTGTACCTCTTACAGATCACAGTACACGTACGGCAGATGGCTCCTGCCACCGCGTTCACAGCGCCGGGAACAGCAACGCACACCTGATTGAACGCCACCATGGCGAATCGGGGACCAAACGCGTGATGGTTACTCCGGGAGGAGGAGGGGAACAGATACTATACAGCCCTGAGTCATCACCAGGAGGAGGGGAAACGCAAACTTACATACACAGGAGTCTCCGGGATAAACTACAATGGCCGCTGTGTCATAGACAGGAGATCCACACTTACGGTACTGAAGACATACATGTGTGAATTTATGCAGCTCTGAACAAGACCATCGAAGCCAAGGGTGAGAGGGTGTCTGTGAAATGCACAAATCGACATCCAAAGAGATTCTTGTAGCTCTCTGACTGAGGGCCCTTCTGGCCGTTTACTCCAGAGGTGTCTTGGAAATGGACCAGCAAGAGTGAAGCACGGTTACCACGAACACACTGATTTGCTATCCTCTGGGGGAGCCTGGAGTTCTGGGGTTGGGCCTGGGCTGTGATGGAAGGCATAACAATGCAGCTGACACGGTTGTAAAGCCAAACCTCCTAATCTCTTGCACAGCTCAATCTCACTACAGTGCAGATGCATTCTTGCTTTATTTTGTCTGTGCCAGATTTACATGCATACCATATTGCTTATTCTGTATTAGAGAAACCGTTAGGCGTTTCTGATGAGGAGATCCCATGGTGGCCTGGTCTTCATGGAATATGGAATATAGGAAATCATAACATCGCCACTGGCATCCAATGCGTCATTATTGCCAACATAGCTAGCAGGCACGTCCAGGAGACTTGCCCTTTTATTGACTGGTTTTTGGTTAAGGACTCACCTATCCGGTATCTGCTGTGCTCAGCACGCACCTCACAAGATTCCTTGAGTGGAAGACTATGGCCTGGAGCCATGTGCAAAAGAAACCAACGGAAAAAAAAAATACCTTCCTAAATCCTCTTCCTCTTTGCAGGGCACTACTGGACATCCAACATCTACCCTCCGGAACGTTGGCCATTACGTATGTTTCCCTATAGATAAAACATTAATGGAAGGTTTTAAACATCAGATTCAATACTAGGCATTTTCTTGTACACGCGTCTATTGCTGCAGGAATTTAAAACCCTGGGGCCAGAGTACATATTATTCTTAGTTGCAGCATAAGGCATAACATGCTCCGATATATACACATCGTTGTGGCCTCTACTGTCCCTGGAACAGTAGGATGCCGTCGACCTCAGGGACGATCGGAGATAGCTGTCATTCGCTGCCTGGGATGGCAACGAGTGTTTATAAGGGTCCGAGGGGCACCTCCCAATAACCAAGCGCTGGTCGTCCCCATAGGAGTGGAGGAAAGGGTTATCGGAGGCGTGGTCCGGCAAGAGGGACTTGCTCCGTTTGCTGACCTCCAGACCCTGGGGGACAAGGGAGCCCTTGTTCCCCAAGAGTCTGCTTGAGGGGACACTACAGAGACTCCCGTACAAGTTTCCCTCCAGAAGCCGTTCCCTGTCCTTGAGGCTTATGCTCCGGGAGGGCCTGCCAAGGTCTAGCTCCCTAGGTTTGTCGACAATGTTATCATAGGAATGCTGACGGCTAATCCTTAGCTTGTTCTTTTGGAACTGGAGGGCGCTGCTCTGAGCCCAGTCCTGCTGGTAGACCTCCTCCTGGGTGGCGGGGTTACCTGTCTCCTGGAGCATCTGGTCTTCGTCGATGTCGTAGAGGTTCCCCATCCGCAGGCAAGCATCGCACTTGAAGGGGGACCTCATGGTGAAGTGGCCCGAGTAGGCGGGCAGGTTGGACAGGCAGCTCCGGCAGTGTGTGGAGGTCTGCCGGTAGCGGTCGCTGCCCTCGCTGTGAGGGGAGCTCTTGTCTTTCAAGGTGAAGTGCTTGGAGTAGAGTTTATACTGGTCGTTGTTGGGGAGCCCGTCTTCATTGTGCAGGGGGTTCCTGTTCATCGGCAGCGTGGAGTCCCCCTTGCGGAAGCTTTCGCTGTGGTCCTGGTAGGGGTCCGGGAAGTCCACGTTCTCGGGAAGGGCCAGGTTTTCGACAAACTGGGGAGGATCGAGGTGGAAGCTGGGCTCCTTCTCGCCATCGATGGTGTAGATTTTGTCCCTGGGGGAGCTCGCTTTGGTTTTCAGGTAGGAGCGCTCGACCTCGCTGCAGTCCTTGGGGTATTTGGAGGCCATCGACCTTTTGAAGTTGTCCTTGGCTTTGTGGTTCTTACTGTTGTCAGGCTCCCGGTGGCAGGTGGCCCGACTTGAAGTTTCTGAGATGTCCGAGTGGGCCACCTCTTCTGGAAGGTACCGAGGACTCTTTAGGGAGTGGGTCCTGTTCTCCACGGTTCCCTCATCTCTCTGGGAGACTGGGTTCTGGCTGAGCGAATCCTGGCGTAGAGAATCCATGGATTTCTTCCAAAGCTGCCGGGGCCTGGAGTTCCCTTTGGATTCCGTGCTCACAGCCACCTCTACCGTGTTAGGGTTGGACTCGTTGAGGGTCAGTGGGTGCTGTCCCTGGAACACGTAGTTATTGAGGTTATCTTTGTGCCTGTTGGCCACAAAGGTTTGGAGTTCATTCATGTTGTCCCCAAAAATGCTGTCTTTCCCCTGAAAGGACCTGTTGTCTGAGTAGATCAGATTTCCCTTATCCGAAACCATGTCCATGATGAGGGAGCCTCTTTGGATGAAGTCAGCAGCTCTTTTGGGGGAATCCATCCTTGAGGAGTTCACGTTGGACATGTTGGAAATGTTTTTGGCTGATCGAAGGAGTTTTAACATGTTGCTCTGGGACCCGGTCAGATTGAAGTCCGGAGACTTCTTCTTTTCCTCAATGTGCACTCCGTGAATGCAGCTGTAAATGCCCTGTGGGGAGTAACACAGAACACTGTCAGCTGCAGCTGGGCATGAACCCACTTCACACCTGAGCTTGACCTGCAAAGGGGAGCCATTTCCTTCTTGCAGGAGCCCTGGAGGAATAGTGAAATCCAATCTGAATCCTGACAATGTTTCTTAAATGTATGAGGCCAGTGGTGAAGCGTCAGGCTGATCTTGTCTCTCTGATTCAAGAGCATCTGACACTTTTGCAAATAGTCACACATGGAGTTTGAGAAAAAAAATATCACCTAACCCTCATACAACTGTAAGGATCACAGGACCTTCAAATTGTCACGTAAGTATTCAATTGGCCTTCCCAACACCTGGGTCACCAACTCATACTTTTATTAAAGCCTCCCAGGACCATCTTTGGACTTTGGATACCAGAGAGTCAGTTATTGGCAAACTAACTCAGCATAAAAGGACCACCTTTTGGGGAATTATGCCTACCCACACACTGAAGCTATCAATCAAGGCATGAGACCCAGTATTTATCTGAAGAAAACGAAAATTCTAATTCAAAAAGATATATGCCTCCCAATGTTCACTGCTGCATTATTTTCAGTAGCCAGGATAGGGATGCAACTGAAGAGTCCATCATGAGATAAATAGAAAGGAAGATGTGGTATACACACAAACACACAGTGGAATATTACTCAGCCCTAAAAACAGAATGAAATCTTATAATTTGTGACAACATGGATAGACCTAGAGGGTGCTATGCTAAGTAAGATAAGTCAGACAGAGAAAGACAAATACCATCTGATTTCACTTATATGTGAAATCTAAAAAACAAAACAAATGGACAAACATAACAAAACAAAAGAAGACTCATAGAAAACAAACTGGTAGTTGCAGAGGGGAGGGGGTTAGACGGATGGGAGAAATAGGTAAAGAGCATTAAGAGGTAAAAACTTCCCGTTATAAGATACAATGTACAGTTTAGGAAATAGAGTTGATAACACTCTAATAACTTTGTGTGGTGACAGATGGTAACTACTTTTATTGCAGTGATTATTTCACAGTGTATAAAAATATTGAATCTCTCAATATACCCAAAGTATAATATTGTAAGTCAATTATACTTCAATTAAAAAAAGTGGAACACCCTGGTGTGATTCTGTCCTGCATGGCTGTTCTCTGAAACAGTGGTGGTTTATCTCCGTCCATCTTCTCTCCACCTAAGTGCATGCCACCAACTCATGGAAGATTTCATGGACGTGGACATGAGCCCCCTGAGGCCTCAGAATTACCTTTTCAGTTGTGAACTAAAGGCCGACAAAGATGATCACTTTAAGGTGAATAATGATGAAAATGCACACCAATTATCTTTAAGAACGGTCAGTTTAGGGGCTGGTGCAAAGGATGAATTGCACATTGTTGAAGCAGAGGCAATGAATTATGAAGGCAGTCCAATTAAAGTAACACTGGCAACTTCGAAAATGTCTTACAGCCAACAGTTTCTCTTGGGGGCTTTGAAATAACACCACCCGTGGTCTTACGGCTGAAGTGTGGTTCAGGGCCTGTGCATATTAGTAGCTGTGGAGGAAGATGCAGAGTCAGAAGATGAAGAGGAGGAGGATGTGAAACTCCTAAGTATATCTGGAAAGCACTCTGCTCCTGGGAGTGGTAGCAAGTTTCCACAGAAAAAAGTAAAACTTGCTGCTGATGAAGATGAAGATGATGATGATGATGATGATGATGATGATGATGATTTTGATGATGAGGAAGCTGAAGAAAAAGCTCCAGTAAAGAAATCTATACAAGATACTCCAGCCAAAAACACACAAAAATCAAAACAGAATGGAAAAGACTCAAAAACATCAACCCCAAGATCAAAAGGTCAAGAATCCTTCAAAAAAAAAAAACAGGAAAAAACTCCTAAAACACAAAAAGGACCTAGTTCTGTAGAAGACATTAAAGCAAAAATGCAAGCAAGTATGAAAAAAGGTGGTTCTCTTCCCAAAGTGGAAGCCAAGTTCATCAATTATGTGAAGAATTGTTTCTGGATGACTGACCAAGAGGCTATTCAAGATCTCTGGCAGTGGAGGAAGTCTCTTTAAGAAAATAGTTTGAACAGTTTGTTAAATCTTTCCATCTTATTTCATTCCTGTAACAGTTGATATCTGGCTGTCCTTTTTATAACGCAGAGTGAGAACTTTCCCTACCGTGTCTGATGAATGTTGTTCAGGTTTCATTGCCAAGAATGTGTTGTCCAAAATGCCTGTTTAGTTTTTAAAGATGGAACTCCACCCTTTGCTTGGTTTTAAGTACGTATGGAATGTTATGATAGGACATAGTAGTAGTGGTGGTCAGACAAACGGAAGTGGTGGGGAGACAAAAATGTACATGTGAAATAAACTATTTTTAAAAAAATGTAGAACAGTCTCTTCCCTGCCCCCACACACAATAAAGAAGACATGAGACCCACATGTGGTCAACCATTCATTTTTGGAGGGACAGACACAGATGGTGGGACACAGAGACCTGGTAGAGTTTGAACCCCCGGAGCTCCCTTCTTGGACTCCTCACTTAACCACCTATATTATATCTTCTTTGTGCTTGCGTTTGAAGAGTTTGGTCAGCATAGTTAAAAGTGAGTTTTAGTTTCTAGGAAGACTGGAGAGTCCTGGTGACACAGGGATGCTGCATTTAGATCCATCCAGGGAACTGAGTGACTCGGTAAGCAACCCATCCATAGGTCTCTCGTTTTCCACTCCACCTTGCTCCTTTGTTAAAAATAGCTGTTTACTTTTACTTAAAAGTAACTCAGAGGAAGACTATTCTACAATAGTCGGTGAAAGAGCATCAGTGGCATTGTGACTTGTGCCCCTCCCTTCCCCATTCCTGCCCCCAGATTTTGACTGTGGCGCCCAAAGGGAACAATCAGATCCAGGCTGCAGGATGTGACCTGGTCCTCCCCAGACTGACAGGGATCCGGCCCAAGAAGGGGTTTGTAAAATGGACACGGTAGCTCCTGCTAACTTTGGCATAAACTAGTGGGAAGTATGTGTGAGGAAGTGCGGACAGCAGCTCCATCGCGTCCCCACTGTGGGGACACGCTGAACCTGCAGGGATGTGCACATAACTGTGACAGCCTCAGCCCGTGTGCACTGCTGCATTTTCCTGTGGTTTTCTAGAGACAGTCTCCCTTCCTTCAAGGAACAGTAAACAGAAAAGTCTACTAGCTGTGCATTTGAGCACCTCTTTCTCTGACCGTCTCAGCCGCAGGCTGCAGGGTGAAGGCTCTCCGAGACCAGGGCCCTAGCATCGTACCCCTCCTACCTTCCTGCAGTCTTCCCTCTAGTCTCCATCCCTTCCCCGCCAAAAAGCAATGTCTCCTCACTGTTTCCAGGGCTGCTGGACATCGAAATCATACAATACATACACCATGTATTTCACGTAGCACAGTGCGTCCGAACCTTTTATGCTAACGTATGCCTTCCCTGCCCAGTTTAGTAATGTAATAGTCTCCTGCCGTAACCGAGAGGGCTTCTGCTACCATGGGTAAAAATCAGTGTGTCTCCTACGTGTCTGAATCAGCCACGATCGGTGCCTTGTCTTCCTATTGTTAGTACTATGGAAACATTAGTCCTTAAATGGTTTTTCTAACTTTGCAATTTGGTTTTAATGAGATCCCCTTATTAAAGAGATTTTGAGAACTAGAGATTTTTGAGACCTTCCCTCCACCCTTCGCCGTCAGAGCAGTGTGCTCCCGCCTGCCCGGATGAGCTGGTTGTGTCTGTATTTGCAGGAGGCCCACAGAAATGGTCGGGCTGCCGAGCTATGTGTCAGGAGCTGGGACGATGGCTGCTGACTGCTTTTCCTCATCCCTGGTTTCCCCTGGGACTCACAGGACACAGCTAAGGCAGTTCCCAGGTACTGACCTGCCTGGGGGAGCCTTGGGAAGGAGTCAACGTGAGGGACCAAGCCCGTACCCCCGTTTTGGATGGTCTGGATGACAGTGTTCTCCAGCTAAGCTGACTCACCTTTCAGATGGGCTGATGAGGAGGTGGGGTGCATATTACAGAAGGATGGGAAGAGCCAGAGACCTGGAACCCACTGGAAATGAACACACTTCCATCCTTTATTAGCTCTGTGACTTTGGATAAGCCACTACACCCTCTTTGAGCCTCAAGTTCCACATCTGTAAAATGGGAATCCTACAGTTTAAGGTGGATGTGAGGGTGAGATTTGAGAATGCAAGCGATGCACCCTACGCAGAAGAGGCTTCGTAAACATGAGCGGGAGAGCTGCTCGGTCACCCCGATGTGCCCTTCTCACTCGTCCCCTCCCCTCTCTCTCCTTTTTCACTAGCACAAGTGCACAGTGCCCGTTTGGTTGATGCTGGAGGAAATGCATGCTACTCTTTGCTACTGAAAATGTACTGCAGCTTTCTGGTTAGATAAGCTGGCCAGACCCTCCCTGGGGAGCCACGTTCCTGGGCCGGAGCTCCATTCTTCCCTGCAGAGGTCTCTCTCTCTTTTCTCCCCTCTATTATTCATAGATTCCAGTTTCCTTTTATGAGTCGTGGAAATGAGACGCCCTCTCCGCCCCACAGCGGGCTGGGATGACATTAGCCCTGACAACTCGACGTGCGGTTCCAACTTCCTCTGCTCCCCTCCCACCCTCATCCCAGAGGGGCTCTGACCTCTCAGAACATTCTCGATGGGGCCTGAGCTCCACCGTTGGTTCCTTACTTCCTGAGCCTGATCCCCGAAGTGTCTGCTATGGTCCACATGTTTGTGTCTCCACCCACCCCCAATTCGTATGTTGCAACCCCAGCCCCCAAAGGTGATGGTATTAGCAGTCGTGAGCTGCTCAGGCTGCGAGGTCCAAGGTGGTGAGGTCCAAGCAGCCCTCATGAATGGGATGAGTGCTCTCATAAAAGAGACCCTACAGGGCTCCCTCATCTCCTCCACACAAGGAGACTGTGCGAGCCGGAAGAGGGTCCTCCCTCGACCACGCTGCCTCCCTGATCTCGGACTTCCGGCCTCCAGAACTATGTGCAATTCATTTCTGTTGTCGATAAAGCCACCTAGTCTGTGGTCTTTTGTTACAGCAGCAGCCCAGATGGATGAAGGTGGGATCTGACTTCTGTCTATGGGTCCTGATGGTGGTTCAGCCAGAAGCCTCTTTCATTCTGTTGCCACGCTCTCCCCTGAGCGCGTGGGGAAGGTGGCACGGTCTCCGTCTCCCTGCTCTCTGGCTTTGCTACATCTCCCATTCCTCATGTCTCAGGAGACAACTGAGTGGTTCTTTTTGTTGGTGGCAGTGAATATTTTTTTCAACATGAGAGGGACAGCATTTTGAAGACAAAACAAAAGTTAAGAGTGCCCCACAGAGGGATGTTTGTCAGTCGCAACGGACCAAGGCCACAGCTGCAGGAGAAGCTTGGTTCTAATGTCAGATAAATGCCTCTGAGCTCCAGCCTCTACCCTTGGCAGTGCCAGCAGGGCAGGTGTCTCAGGCTTGTATTTGTGTCTCATTATTCAGGAGCTTCCCAAGGGATGCTGAGCCCATGAGGTGGGCTGCATGTGCCTGCTACGGGGCCATAGCTTTAGGGCTCATGGCTGGATGTTCAGCGTGCTAACAAGAGAACTGGGCAGGAAGAGACCTGCCTTATGTGCAGAAAAATCTGCCTTGAGATAGGAGGGAGTTTCAGAGCATCCTGGACCAACATCCCTTAGACAAAGAACTTAAACATTGAAATTAAAGTATGAGACTCAGCTCGGCATAAACAGATAAGTCCCCCCTTTTATGCCTTTTTTTTTTTGCCAGAGATCCTGGCTCTCTGAAACAGAGAAGTGTCCTATTGTTTCAAGGAAACATAAGGTGAAGCCAAAAGGGTCCCATTCTAACCTTCTGGGCCTCAGTTTCTCCATCCATAGGATGGGTGTGATCATATCACCCTCACAGGGGTTTGTGAGGATCAGAGAAATATCCCTGGCCCAGGCCCTTATTCCCACGCCAGGCAAAATTCATTGTGTCCTTGGGATCTTGCATTTGTAGGAAAGTAGATTCTCTGCTTGGGGATTTCCCACTGAAACTTTTGTGAAAGAAAATGGTTGTGTGTGCACAATGCAGACACTTCAGCTCTGTGTGTTCTCTGTGCAGTGTAAGTATTCATGGAAGGTGGCCCACGTGTGATATACACATAAGACAAGCTGCAGAGGCATGTGGTGGCCCTTGACCAGAAAGGGGGGCACATTTTTTAGCAACACAGAAGCCTGCTATGCACAAGATCAGGGCTCAGACCGTTCTGAGTTCCCCTAATAAATAAGAGAAGTGGGAAAGTGTAGTAAGTATGAGGTCTTCCTCCGCACACGTATCAGGCTGCACTTACTTCACAAACAAATACTATCTGGGGAGAAAGGAAGGGGCCAGTGCTCAAGCAGGGCTTCCTGCAGCCTTTGAGGATATAGGAGTGATGGTGGCTGGGGGTTCCCAAGGGGCACGGAAGTCCCTGCAGTGCTCCCATGGGACATGGGGGTCCTCTCTCCCCTAGGGAAGAGGAGACAGACGTGCGAAGTCCAGCTTTTCGAGGCACGACGCAGCGATTCTGCGCCCAGTTTCCCCTGCGCTCCCGCCCTGCAGGATGCCTGGAACCAGAGTGAGGGGTTTAGTCCATTTCTCATAATGACAGTCCCTAGTGGTATCTCAGACAGAGGAAATGCTCTTCCCAAAGCAATCAGGATTTACCAGGAAAGGCAACACTGTGTGTTTGCTCACGGCAATCCCAGAATCATTTGGGTACGGAAAGCCTTTAGTAACTGGCGGGGAGAATTAGCTTCAAGTTGGCTTAATACCTACCTATACGCATGCATGTTAATTCTAAGCAATCTGTGTGTTTAGACGCCATCAAACTAATTAGGAATAAGTATTTGCGTAGAACCCAGGTTTAGAGTGCCCCTGAATGGAGACAATACACCCCCCCGACTAAGCCCAGGTGTACCTTCTGGATCTCTTAACATCACCAAATGCCAAGAATACACAAATTCCTTTTTAAATGATTATTCTGTCTTCCCAGTAAACACTGGCATATAAAGCTAGGTGTTACTAACCAAATATTTTTCATAATATTTCAAATCCTAATTCATTAAACTCTTTCAAGTGTAAAAAAAATTAGGAGGAGTATAGTTCAGTGGTAGAGCACATGCTTAACATGCATGAGGTCATGGGTTCAATCCCCAGCACCTCCATTAGAGGGGAGAAAAGCAAAAAAAAAAAA